TGATTAAGACTTCACAGAGAGAGAGAGAGAGAGAGAGAGAGAGAGAGAGAGAGGACACTGTGAAGCCTTTCTTTTTCTGCAGGCTGTGAAATAGGACTAATTCAACTTGTTGAGCTTTCCAGTTGAGCAGGATCTAGAAAGCCCTATGGATATCTACAAGTAAAAGATGCTTGCCCATTGGGGGATCCTGATGTCCCTCAATTTTCTCCTCCAGTGGTATCTTCCCCCCCCCCCAGAGCCATGCCAGGGCCCCTGCTCTTTCAAGGGGTCTCCAGACTTTCAGGAGTGTCCTTTAGGGGGGAGAGAGTATATCAGGAAAGAGGAAGCAGGATAAGAGAATTAACCACTTGCATTTTTTTAAAATATGAGTCTTAGTAAAGACTGTTATAGATATGCTCTCTGAAATTATTGCATATTTTATTGCTGTTGTTTTATTCTGGATGTTCATACTTGTATTGTAATTTAATTTTTGTTTGGTTGATTTTTGTGCAATTCCCTGGAATGTTGTGAATGAAGGATATTTAAATATTTTAAATAAAACAATTGAATAGTTTGGAAGCCAGCCTAAACTTAGAGGGTGGTCAGGATACTTTAAAAAATAATAAACACCTGCCTAAAGTAGCATTCCAAAGTTCTCAGTCACTGGGGTATTCTGATCACCTTCTACAAACATGCAGAAGAATCTTTTTTTTTTTCTGTGCCATTTGCTACTATGGCTTGTCATGAGTTGATTTGTTGGTGGAATGGAGCTGTTGCTTGCTTTGATGAATGGTATGTCACACCATAGAGGTCTTGGCTAGTTGAGCCCTTTGGGAAAAAAATGGCCTGGTTCACTTCTATTTCACCAGTGGAGTTGTCGCTCCATATTTGAGGAAAATTTACAAGAGAGGACATTTGTTCATGACTGACAGCCGTTCAGTGTGACTGAGAGTGACAGTATCATGATATATGCAAACACAATCTCATTTGCTTTGTAATTTTCCTTTCAGCATTTAAAATAAATGTGACTGTGCTCTGAGCAATTAAAGGATGCATCATAACCACTTGATTACAATGCACTGCTGTCCCACTGATTCATTTGAATATTGTTCAGTGGGCCCAATCCACTGCACAAAAGTAAATTTGTATCAAGCTTAATCAGTACCAAGCTATATTTGAAAGTAATGGATATCATACATCAGACTAATTCAGACAATCTGATCCTCTACCTGGATAATCACTTTCAGCTCTTTTTGACTTGCCTGCAAAGACGTGTGCATGGATTTATTGTCTTAATCACAACTAAATTAAGTTCTCTTGATTTTCAGAGGGATTTAGGGCAGCCAAATATTTTTAAAAGCATACTTAGTGTTTCCTAAATATTGTTAAGGTTTGAGAAGGAGGCATTTGTTGGGGACAGAGTGGGTGTTCACTCTTATAGCAGAATTTTCCCTGCTGATATGTTTTAAGGGACGTGGTGGCGCTGTGGGCTAAACCGCAGAATCCTGTGCTGCAGGGTCAGAAGACCAACCAGTCGTAAGATCGAATCCATGTGACGGAGTGAGCACCCGTCACTTGTCCCAGCTCCCACCAGCCTAGCAGTTCGAAAGCATGCAAATGCAAGTAGATTAATAGGGACCACTTCGGTGGGAAGGTAAAAACAAAAAGCTGGCTCTATGGCTTGGAAACGGGGATGAACATCACCCCCTAGAGTCGAACATGACTGGACAACAATTTTCAAGGGGAACCTTTACCTAATATGTTTTAAAACACATACACACAGAGAGACCTGGCTCCTTTCTCTTGTTAATCTTTGATATGAGAATTCAGTCGAATTTGTGAGTGGAGGTATCTATCTATCTATCTATCTATCTATCTATCTATCTATCTATCTATCTATCTATCTATCTATCTATCTATCTATCTATCTATCTATCTATCTATCTATCATTTATTTATTTATTATCTATCTATCTATCTATCTATCTATCTATCTATCTATCTATTTATTATATTTATATACCACCCATCTAGTCATTTGACTACTCTGGGCTGTGTACAACATACAAAATAAACAATTAAAATAACATCATTATCAAGATTAAGAAGTAATTCAAGATGGGGAAAAAAATAAAGAGATGGCATTTATAGGGGAGATTTGTTTCTTGCTTAACTCTTCTTGCAGTCACTCATTCTCCTCTCTAAAAGTCTCCCCTGGGCTGTTCTTATTTCTTTCCTTCTCCTCCTCGATGGAGTCTAAGATCAGAAATAAGTCTAAATTAAAGGAGGAAGTGGCTTGTGAGGGGCATTCGAAGGAACTAGTCCATGCCTGCAGTAAGCCTTCCTGCCTCATAGATCTCTCATTCTAAATGCCCCCTCCTGCCATTTTAACTCATTATTTCCCCAGTGGACCTTGAAACCAGGAATAACGCCTTGAGGAAGGAGAACTTTTAAGCACTCTTGTCTATGTGTCATGTACTTACAAGTCATTTCCAACTTATGGTGACCATAATAGAGTTTTCAAGGTGCAAGAGTTGTTTAAAGAATGGCTTCCCTTTGCCACACCTTTGGAAGTTTCCTTGGTTGAGCAGAGATTTGAACCCAAGCCTCCTGACTCCTAGTCCAACACTCCATCCACTACACTACACAGTGTCCAATTTAGGTTGCCTTTCTTGGCCTTGTTTGGAAAAGAAAAGTTTCTAGTCCCTATAATTGCAGAGATATGAGTCAGAACTTTTTATCTGCCTAATTGTTTTCAAGCATCAAGCCTGCTACTGCCTTTCAGTGTGATTAGCCAATGAGTGAAGCCATAAGCAGTGTAACATTTCTGGCACTTTATAGATTTATCAGTTAGCGGGACCAATTGCGTCCCTGTTCCTGGGCAGATTCCTGGGTACTTCTGGGGAAAAACTAGGCTGTTGTGAAGAGCTGCCTCCAAACAATGCATAGAAAATCATTGGGCTGTAGAAATGAACCATGGGAGGGAAGGGCAAGAAAACAGTACATTAAAAATAAAATAAAAGAAAGAAAGCTACTAGTATCAAATAAAATGTTAGTATTTTAGTTGCCACTGTTTTCACCTTCTCTTTACTTTCTTATGGTCAGATAGTGTATTTCCCTGTTGGTCATTTAGCAGACAGACATACAAATATGTCCTAGATCAAATCAAGCCTGAACTATCTCTGGAGGCGAAAATTATGAAACTGAGGCTGTCCTACTTTGGGCACATCATGAGAAGGCAACATTTGCTGGAAAAGACAATATGGTTTGAAAGGTTGGAGGCAGCAGGATAAGAGGAAGACCAAATACAAGATGGACTGACTCCCTAAAGGAAACCACAAGGTTGAGTTTTCAAGAGCTGAGCAGGGCTACTGAGGACTGGACATTTTGGAGAGTATTCATTCATAGGGTCACCATAAGTCAGAGGTGATGACACGTAACAGCAACATTTTAGTTACCAAAGGCTCTTCTGTTTTCAGACAGGACAGGCACTATTAGAGTAGCCTGGTATATTTCCATTCTGGGATGAAATTTACTTTTCCACTGCCCTCACTACATTCCTTATTGCTTCTGTGCAGGGCCTTACTTTTTAGCTTGCAAGTTTCAGGATAGGAACTGTTACATTAACTATATTCTGGCTATCTTTTTTATTTTTATTTTTATTTATTTTTTTGGCTAGAGGATGGGATATAAATACAATAAAATAAGCACCAACAATAGCAGTAAAATTTTATTTATTTATTTCTAGATTCAGTGAATGGGTGGCTTAGAGTCCAAATATAAAACAAAATTTAAAACAAACAATATCAGTCAACAGAGATAAGCAAAGACCAAGATGGTAAGACATAAGGAATTAAGAAATGGAAGGGGGGAAGGCCTGCCTGAAGAACCAAGTCTTCAGCTTGTTTTTAAAAACTCCCAGCGAGGGTGCCAGGGGAAAGATGTTCCAGAGGTGAGGGGCACCGATGAGAAGGCCCTGTTTCTAGTTCTCTTCTTCCAGGCCTTTCTCAGGGTCAAGCCCCTCAACTGCCCATCCTGGCTAGATTGAGTGATATGAGTAGATCTAGGTGGGAGCAGGCGCTCTGTCAGGTATCGAGGTCCTAAACCGTTTAGGGCTTTATATGTAAAAATTAACACCTTGAAATCAATGCGGAAACGAATGGGCAACCAGAGTAAGCTGCCAGAGTGGGGGAAATGTGATGGTATTTTTTCACCCCAGTTAATAATTTGGTGACCATATTCTGGACCATTTGTAATTCCCGCACCAATCTCAAGGGCAGTCCCACGTAGAGCGCATTACAGTAGTCTAATCTCAAGATTACAAGCGCATGGACCAGAGTGGTGAGCGCCCCAACATCAAGATAGGAGCACAGATGCTACCTTGGGACCCCATGGTAAGCATACTGATGACTCAAAGCCCCACACCCCCAGATGACCCCACCCAGCGGCATCATATAGATATTAAACAGCATTGGAGAGATGATCGAGCCCTGCGGCACCCCGCAATTGAGGAGCCACAGGGCCGATACACACTCTCCAAGCTGAACTCTCTGGGAATGGTCCTCCAAGAAGGACAAGAGCTAGGCCACCAATCCCCAACTTGGAAAGCCGTCCCAGGAGGATACCAAAGAATGCTGGTCATAGATGTAGTAATAGTGGTGCAGAGCTTGGAAAAATTATATATTTGAACTATGTATCCTAGAATCCTTTAGTCAGCAAAATTAGGCTAATTGAGATTTCAAGAATTGGAATGTGGCAACATTATTCTTGACCCACTTGGTCGTTCTGTCTAATTTACATTTACATTGCCTTAGAAAATAAAATGTTTGAAGAACAAATTGTTGCCATGATGCAATATGGTACCCATTGAGTAAACTGCTATGTCAGACATTGTGTCTTTAATTTTATTTTCTTCGCTTTTCTCAGTGGATGTTCATAACGTTTTATATAACTTATCAGCAGGTTCATATTCTGTTTTCTGCTTTTTTCTGTATTAATAAAATACTTTTTTTATTTTTCAGTGCAAATGGTCTAGAAAAGGATTCATTCGAACAAGATGGTATATTATTGACTGGTAGGTAATGTGGCTGTTTTGTTAAAATGCTGTAATGTTCATGGGTGCTTTCTGATGCCCTGATTTGCTGAACAACTATCTACTTAGGCTGTGGTTGTTGTAAAATATTATTATGGAATAGTTTTTCTTCTTCGTGGCTTCTGTGAATCACACTTTGAGTAATCTGCACATGTGTGGAGCCTCATCAGAATATTTTAGAGCTTCTGCGGTAGCAAACGAAATGGATAGACTTTTAAAAGGTAAAATATTTATGAACAACATTTTATATCTGCTTTGCTTTCCTGTATTTTTCTACTCTTTTTTCCCTGTTACTTTGGGGAAGCAGTTACAGTGGTGCCTCGCATGACGACGTTAATTTGTTCCGAAAAAATCACTGTCGAACGAAAATGTCGTCATGCGATTTTAAAAAGCCTATATAAACGCATTAAAACCCAATTAATGCATTCTTAGGGGCTTAAAACTCACTGTCCAGCGAAGATTCTCCATAGTGCGGCCATTTTCGCTGCCCTTGCAGCGAGGAATCAGTGCCAGAAAACAGCGGGCGGCCATATTTTTCACCCGGCGGCCATTTTGAAACCGCCGATCAGTTGGCCGGAAATCATCGCTTTGCGATAATTGGTTAGCGAAACAGGGGACCGATCATCGCAAAAATACCCCATAGGGAACATCATTTTGCGATCGCTTTTACGATCGCAAAATCTTCGTCGTGATGCGATTTCGTCGTCAAACAGAGCGCTCATAATGCGAGGTACCATTGTATTACTAATACAGGTTCTTTTTCCCCTCAGGATAAATTTTGTTCTATAAATGATAAGAGTTAATTTAATACGCCATAATTTCCATTGGCCTTTTCAAAGAACCTAGAATTGATTGAAACTCTGCAAGGAAAAGGAGGAAAAGAGCTTCATATTACCTTTGCTTTTCTTCCCTCAAGTGGTGGGGGTTGTTTTCTGAGAGAGGTAGAAACAAACAGGCAGTATATCACATTTGGCTCTCTGTAACAAAAAATGTGTGGGTTAGAATCCCTAAAACTACACCAGTTGTTGCCTGTCTTCTACGAAGTGTGTGGCATAATTCAAAACCTTCACGTACTGCTATTTTATTATATTATTTATTTATTTATTTAT